TAACTGGAACTGGGTTGGGCGATTTTGGCAGTGCTTCCACTGTTTGAGGTGTAAGCGTTCTGCCTCGAAGCCTCCCCCAGGCCACTGTTCTTTGATTTTGAAAGTAAATCCCGCCAAGTTGCGGGCGCTCGAGCGCAGGTGTATTGTGGTGGATTTCAGCGACGGCAGCTTCGCCGCCGTTTGCCAGATTTGCCACGCCTACCCGACTGGAGGTCAAGTGAGGCCTTTCGCCAAGCCCTGTTTGGGCAAGCCGCCAGCTCGAAGCGTTGTTTTCAAGAGGCTCGGCAAAGGACCCCACCCTGACTACAAGCGGGTCGGGGTCACTGCCGATCTCGAGGGTGTGGCCCCCCTCTGAGGGGCTCTTTGGCCGTGGATGCCAAAAAGGAGGAGGCGGAGGAGGAGGAGGAGGATGAGGATGATGATGCTGATGCGGATGATGCTGATGATGCTGCTGATGATGATGTGGAGGAGGAGCAGAGGGCATGAAAAGGGAATGTGGGCGGAGGAGGTTGACGAGGAAGGAGCAGCGGAGGATGGACTTCTTCGTAGCGGCGCAACGGGCGAGGAGGAACAGGGGGAGGGGGAGGGGCAGGAGGAGGATGAGGATCGAGGAACGCGCTCAGACACAGCTCTAATATGAGAGACGACCTATCCCAATCCTTCACCCCCCCTTCAGAGGCTTACCAGACTTGGGATGCTTGCCCCCAGGAAGCATTTAAGGACTCGCCGCCTGCCGGGGGGCACGTCTTTGGGGTCAGGGCAGGGGGCCCCAAACGCCTTCCCTACCCTGACGGACCAGTAGGCCCCGCACCGCCGACGCCAGACGACCGTACCCGTGGCGGTAACGTCGTGTCCCCCAGACGCGGTGAGCCTTAGCGGAGGAATAGGAGGAGGAGGAGGAGGAGGAGGAGGAGGAGGAGGAGGAGGAGGTGGAGGAGGAGGAGGAGGAGGAGAAGGAGGAAGAGGGGAAGAGGAGGAAGAGGACGAGGAGGAGGAGGAGGAGGAGGAAGAAGAGGAGGAGGAGCGGGAGGAGGCGGATGCCAACGTTGGGGGGAGGAAAAGGAGTATGAGTATGAGGAAGAGGAGGAGATCCATCCAGGACGAAGGAGGAGGAGGAGAAGGAATATGATACGGACGAGGTGGGGTAGGACAACAGAGAGGTGGGAGAGAGTGAGAAGCTAGGTGCGCTCGCGCGATATCTGTCATCCTCCGTGCACGCATCTCTTCCCAGTGCGCTAAGTGGTTTCTCTATCTGCCAGTGGGCGTCTTAGCTGTCCTGGAGCCCCAATCAGACCCCATCGCTATATGCGCAGTCAGAACAGGAGAGCTGTGCACATCGGAGGAGGGGATGCGGTGGCGGATGAGCAGGATTATGATCATGCGGAAAAGGAAGTTTTAGGGCGGAGGAGCACGAAGAGCAGCAGCAGCAGCAGCAGCAGCATCAGCAGCAGCAGCCAGAGCAGTCGTAAGAGGAGTGGGAGGAGCAGGAGGATCAGGGGAAGGCCGACGAGGGGAAAGGAGTGGGACGACTACGAGTAAGGATTCGGAACCAGAAATGCGGCCCGCGCCGCGCCGGGGCGAGAGCGCCATTCTGAGCACCGAGCATAACCCGTGGCCATCGCTGCAGCGGAACACTACATTGAATATTTGAACGCGCACCGATTGGAAAGCCGTGCACGGGAGTAGTATGCATATTGAGTAGTCGTAGAGAGGATAGGAATGAGAGGAAAAGGGAGATACGAGATTGGAGGAGGGAGCGTGCCATGAAGTGCACGTATGTGACCAAACACGCCTCAGGATAAGAGGGAACTCCTGAGAGGGACGCAGCGGCGTCGAAGTGGGGGTGATACCTCAGGAAACACCCACGCCGTGAACCTAGGAAGGGGGGGTTGGGCCTCAGGAAACACCCGCGCCGTGAACTCTCCAAAGCCCACAAGAGGCCAATCAGACAGGGGGAGAGTACGGGCAAACACGCCGCTACCCTCCCTTCTGACGGGCCTCCTAGCCCGCGTCCGATCATCTTGATCGCCCTGAGCTATCTTGTTGGCTGCGTCTCGTGCTCGGATTCCCTGAGAGCCCCCGTCAGTGGCGACGGAATCTTCGAACGGGACGGGCCGAACTCGAACTGAAAGAGTGCGCCGCATACACAGAACGCATCTTGCCCGAGGAAGGTGAACTTTGCTGTGCGAGCCGACTCGCCCATCTCTTAAGCCGCCTCGTCGAGCTGCATATGCCGAGGTCCCGCGGCCGCCAAGAGCCTGTTTCTGGTCCGGGGCGATGACGGCCGTCATCTGGGGGGGATGGGGGGACGGGGCCGATGACGTCACATTTCGCGCCGGCGGCGTCTGGGAATGCTTCGGAATGGCCGAATACGAGCAGCAACAGCATGTAGGTGGCGATCTGCACTACAGCGCCTGTGTACACCACAGTGCTCGCGTGCACCACAGCGCCTGTGTAATTCACACCGCCTCTGTATACCACAGCTGCTGCGTGCAACACGGCGCCAGTGTGCACCACAGTGCCTGCGTGCACCACAGTGTTTGTGTACACCACAGCGCCTGCGTACACCACAGCAGCCGTTTGCAACACATCACCAGAGTACACCGCAGTGCCTGCGTGCACCACAGCGCCTGTGTACACCACGGCGCATGTGTACACCACAGCAACCGTGTGCAACAGAGCACTATTGTTGTATAGATATCTCGAATTTTAGAGAGATGCCTTATGGCAACGTGGAACGCTTGGGATTTGGATGGGATTTCATATGGGATTTGGGATTTGGAAAAGCATCATATGGAAAAAGGAGCGCCGCTGGAATCTACGAGTCCTCCCGAGTCCTCCCGCATCATCCTAACTCCTGCAATCTGCGTCTGGAAGGCTCCCGCTGAGTTGGCCGTCCAAGAACCAAATGGACCGATTCAATCGACCATTCTGCTGCGCACGCTGAGATGCGCACTTGCGCCGTAGCGCCAACCCGAAAGACGGGGGGAAAGGCGAGGGGGGGGAGGAGGAGGAGGAGGAGGAGGAGGATGAGGAGGCGGAGGAGGAGGAGGAATACCAGGAGGAGGAGGAGGAGGAGGAGGAGGAGGAGGAGGAGGAGGAGGAACAACGCGTGGCTAATGGCGTTTGCCAGGTGCGCCCGTTCGAAGGTTGAGGTGCAACAGATTCTGTAGCGCCCCAGGTTGTGTCCAGGAGGAGGACGAGGACAACGCCACAAGCATATGCTTCAGGTCAGAGCAACGAAAAGAGGAGGAGGAGGAGGAGGAAGAGGAGGAGTAGGAGGAGGAGGACAGAAGGAGGAGGAACCGGAGGAGGAAGAGGAGCAGGAGGAAGAAGAGTAGGAGCAGGAGGAGGAGGAGGACGAGGAGGAGGAGGATTAGGAGGAGGAGGAGGAGGGAAGCACATCGCATTCTATTATTCGCACTTCCCTTGCCTTGTGGTTAGCAGTCCGCAGCATATTCTCATTGACATGTTCCTTCTATTTGTCCTGTGCACGCAGGTGGTGTAGTGTTCACCAGCTCTGCGTTGCACGCGGATGCCGTGGTGCACACAGGCGCCGTGGTGTTTACAAGCGCTGCGGTGCACGCAAGGATTGTGGTGCACGGCGCACTATTACACATCGTTGCTGCGGTATACACATTCGTTGTGGTGTACACAGGCGCTGCGCTGTGGTGTTCGCAAGCACTGTGGTGTACACCGACGCTGCGTTGCACACTGCTGTTGCGGTGTATGCAAGCGCTGTGGTGTGCACGTTCGGTTTGGTGCACGTGAGCATTGTGATGTGCACAAGCGCTGTGGTGCAGATCGCCACCTACATGCTTGTCTTACTTGGCCTCGGTCATCCCTTGGCATTCCTGGACGCCGCCGGCGCGGAACGTGACGTCATCTGGGGGTGGGGGGAAGCGGGGCCGGTGACGCGGAGGCTATGCGTGGGCTGGTGTGGCCTCGCTAGCCAATAGATGCCCAGGCCACCCCCCCACCAAGGACCTCAGACGACAGAGGACGAGGTTTGCCAAAGGGGATTTCCCCAGCTGGGCTCGGCAGTACAAGGGTTGGTCGGTCACAGGCCACCGATCGCCCACCCCGTTGGTTTTGGTGTCCCTGGTCCGTGCGTCGCACAAAGGGGTCCAACTTTCAGGGGGGGCTGAGCCTGAGGCTTGTGGTTTAATTGATGGTCTGTGGGAGGAGAAGTGGGCACCTGGTCAGCTCCTCACCCGTTTTGGCCTGGTTTTGCCAGCTGGGGCTGATCAAGGTATTGGGTCCTATGCTGTGTTTGTTGTTAGGGGCAGGTGGCACTGACACCTGTCTCCATAGAGAACAGAACAGAACAGGAAGAGCAGAAGGAGGAAGAGGAGGAAGAAGAAGAGTAGGAGGAGGAGAAGGAGGAGGAGGAGGAGGAGTGAGGAGGAGGAGGAGGAGAGGAGGAAGAGAGGAGGAAGAAGAGAAGAGAGAGGAAGAGAGGAGAGAGGAGGAGGAGGAGGGAGGAGGAGGAGGAGGGAGGGAGGGAGGAGGAGGCGGAGGAGGAGGAGGAGGAGAGGAGGAGGAGGCGGAGGAGGAGGGAGGGGGAATCAGAGTAGGAGGAAGTACGCAGAGGACAAGCATGAGAAAGAAGGGACAGGATGACAAGTGGGAGGAGGCGGAAGGCGAGGAGAGATGGGAGGGGGCAGGAGGAGGGGTCAATCGAGGGGGAGGACGATGAGCAGGAGGCGGAGGGAGAAGAGAAGCGGCAGAGGAGGAGAGAAAGGACGGGGAGGAGGGGGGTGGGGGAGGAGGAGGGTTTTCCCGTGACGACAGTGAGGGCGACGGGGCAGGAGGAGGGGGAGGATGCGGAGGAGGAGGAGGAGGAGGAGGAGGAGGAGGAGGAGGAGGCGATCTGCATCCCCCGTTCTCCCGTGGTTCCTCCCACTCTTTCCCTTCACCCCTTCTTACCCACGTTGCAAGAGGGGAAGATAAAAAGAGGGCGAGGTGAGTGAAGGGGCAACCAGGGAATCTCACCCCAGGTGTGGCTGCAGATCGTCAAGCTGGGCAGGTACCGGTTCCACGACTGGTCTGTGAAGGCTGGTGCTCCCTCGTGCAGCAAACGCTTTCCTTAGCTCCCTCCTTAACCTGCCTCCTCCGGATCCCTCTCCCCCCCCTTTCCCCTGCGTGTCTACCCCCCCCGCGCACGTGTTCTCGAACGCGTTTCATGCCAGCTTGCTTGTGGCTTACGGGCGCAGCCCCTAGAGTGATTACCGCGAGGTTGACCTTTGGCTGACTGCCGGGCTGCGGGCGGGGGGCGTCCAGGACGGGGCCAGCACAGCGACGATTTTGCGCAAGTGCTGGTCCGAAGCGCGACGTTACCATACGTTACCAGGGGTGGATGGAATCGACGTCATTGTGAACAATTCAAACACGAGCACCAGGGCCGCCCCCGACAGGGAGACCAACGATGCCTCCCTGGACTGGGCAATGTAGACTTCTCTCGAATTGGACGCCGGCAAACAGCTACAGCATTCCACGACCCTTCCCTGCTCGTGTCGCTGGCGGTGCCCTCGTCTGCCTCTCTTCTCGTCACGCCAGAAAGGTCTGTGTCCTGCGCCTCAAGTCGGCCCCTGGGCGTGTCCCGCGTTCTGACCCGAGTTTCCATGGACACCCAGCCGTGGCGACGAGGGCTCCCCGCAGGGCCCAGCTAGATCCGATTGATCCGATGCGATGTTGATTCCGGCCTGCCCGATCCGGTTCGATTGGGACTCTCCGTCGATCCGGTGTGGCCCGCGGTGCTCGTGGTGCACTACTGTGCCTGCTGGCGCTGCAGATCGTTCGGGTCGAGTTCGACTCCGTGCCGATGCAGCCCGATCCGACGACGTTCCAAGTCAAGCCGCTTTCCCGATTCCATGCTGACGAACCTCGCCCCAGTCGGGCGGGGCTAGGACAGGGATAACTCGTCCAGGGGGTTCTGGAACGCTCTCAGAGCGTTCCTGAACGCTCTGCGAAGGCCACGGTGCCCGAGAATTACATTCAGATCCGCTGAATATGAAAGATTCCCTATTTATCCCTGTGCGATGTTTTCAACCTACTTTAGCCTTGATCACCAGAAAAGAATTTCGAACACCACGAAAGTACCGAAACTGGAGGGCTTTCTCGTGTCGGGCCCTGGGAGGCGATACTCGTTCGACACTGTTCCGAAACTTGCTGTGGTGCCCGAAATTATTTCTGGGATGTGGTCCTGAAGGGCGATGGGAGCAACATAATCCGCGTCCTTCAGCGAGCGAAGAACGGTATAAAATAAACTTTCCGCCGTCGGGGACACCTGCCCCTGGGCGGCTGGAAAGTTTATACCCCTATGGTGCCACCGTAAGGGTATAAACTTTCCAGGCGCCCAGGGACAGGCGCCCCCGACAGCGAACAAGTTTATTTTACACCGTTCTTCGCCCGTTAAGTCCTGGCTGCAGCCAGGAGCTTCAAAAGGGCAGCAAACAAGCACACATGCACGCAAGTGCTCTCCCCCGGCACGCCGACGGCAGGCAGCCGACATTCATTATGTGGCAGGAGGACGGGGCGAACTCCTTTCTTCAGGAGGAAGAGAAGCACACAGACACAAATAATCCTCGATTCCCCAGAAAATATGGAAAATATGGGCAGTGGGGGGGAAAACATAAACCCAGAAAATATGGGAAAATATGGGGAATAGTTTTATTTGTGTGTATTTATTTGTGTGTCCTGGGGCCTCTTCATTTTTGGGAAATGAGTTATCTTTCGGCGGCGAGCCCAGGGGGGACATCAAGGGGGACCTTCTCAGAGTCTCGGAAGGCTTAGAAGACCTCCGACCTTCTGAGAAGTGTTCTTAAGCATCCTCCGAAGGCGTCGCCGGCTTCTCAGAAGGCTGGGGGGCTTCTAAGAGACTCCTCGCTGCCTTCGAGAAGGCCTTGCCCATCTCGCTTCCCGCGGGCTCGCCGACGAACCTTGTGGGGGCGAAGCCGAAAGTGAAACTCAAGTGAGGTCGCGACCGCTGAGTAGCAACCGCTTGGCGAGTTCCGGGCGAAAAGAGGGTCTGTGATGCAACGATGGGGTCCTGAGGGATGGCTCTCAGGACGAGGTGCCCCAAGCAACTTAAATCCACCCTTGGCACGCTTCATACATTCTGAGGTCTCCATCCCTCGGGACCCCATCTGCGAGGAGCACACCGAGAAACAACCCAGGCCCTCCTAATCCCTCGGGAACCCATCTGTGAGGGTCCTCAGTTCCCCATCCCTCAGGACCCCACCGAGAGGGTGCGAGGCAGCGGGATCTGAAGCTGCGGGCCAAGGAGGCGGAGCGACGGAGGCAAGTTATTTTCTGACCAAGAGCAGCGGACAATCTGCATTTGCTGCTTTGCTTTCTGAGAAGCGATGATCGGCGGCTTGGGACGGTCCCTTCTGCTCCCTCGGACTAGGTGCGATCCCTTCGTTGCATTCAATCCGCGACGCGTTCTATGGTTCATTGCCATCGGGCCGAAGCCAGGCCACCGCCATGTTGCGTCGCCTAGTCTGTGGATGTGCGTGATGTTCATATGTGTTGCTCCATCCCCGCAGTTGGAGGGCTCCGTCCTCCCCAAAGGAGGGAGGTTAGATGTGGCGAGAGGCGACGGCGGGCGGGGGGAGGGGAGCTTCCCCCCCCTTGTCCTCTCGGGCCCCCCCGCCGCTGTCCCCCCCCCGGTCCCACTCGTTACATGCACGGCGGGTGCCGCGCCACCCTGCGCGCGAGTCCGCGAGGCCCCCGCCTATAGAGGGGGGCACCCGCGCGGCCCCAGCCCGCGGCCACCGGACGTCGTTGCCCGGCACCCTCGCGCCAGGGCGCCCCGGGCGCCCGGCCTCCTGTGGAGGGCGCGGCGGCCCGCGGGCGAACTCTTTTCCCGAGTGGGGAGCCCAGTTCCATGCTACCTCCTACAGCCTCACGTGGTGTTCGATGTCCCAATTCAGAGGCCCCGGCCGCGCCGACGAGAGCCTTCCAGGTGGGCCCAGAGATTCCATTGATCTCAGTCCTCCGCGGGGAAAATGGTGCAGACCAGCGAAGAGAAGTGGCGCGTGCGCCATGGCTCTGGCGCAGCAGGGGGGCGGGAGAGGAGGAGGTGAAGGAGGAAGACGGGGGAGAGAGATTGGGCGCGAGAAGTCGGATAAGGAGGGCCCAGCGAGGGCCGCAATATGGGATTGGCAGGGCGAGCTCGAGGAGGCCCCGAGCCCCCCCCCCGCGAGACGGCCTCCAAGACTTCCAACGTGCCCCCACGAGGCCTCCAACAAACGCCCAAAAAGTTTGCGGAGAATCCGAAAAACCTCCCAGGGGCCCGAAACGGAGGCGGAGGGGGCGCGGGGCGGGCGGGGGTTCCAGTGGGCCGTTGGGGAACGCTGGGGAAAGGGGGATGGGGGGCGGGAGCGGGGCGCGCCGTGTGACGCGGGAAAACGGGCACTGTGCGGAGGTTCCACTGGGCCGCTGGGGAACGCTGGGGAGACGCGGTATAAAATTGTCGGTGCGGAGGAGGCACTGGGCGGCGGTTTCAGGAACGCTGTGGCGGGAGGGGGGGGCGGGGGTGCAGTGGGGCGGGGCGCGATGTGAAACATAATGACATGGTCGGGGTGGAGGGGCGGGGGCACTTGGCGGAGGTTCCACTGGGCCGCTGGAGAGCGCTGGGGTTGGGGGCGCGAGGAGGAGGGGCGGGTAATGGGGGGAAAATGTGCGGCTGAACGCCGGGGAAAGGCGGGCCGAAGGGGGGCGGGAATTGTCGGGGCGGTGGGGGGATTGGGCGGGGGTTCCACTGGGCCGCTGGGGAACTCTGGGGAAAAGGGCGATGGAGGGCGGGGAAGGGGGCGCGCGCTGCGACGCGGAATAGTAATGTCGGGGCGGAGGGGGCACTGGCGGAAGTTCCACTGGGCAGCTGGGGGGCACTGGGGATGGGGGAAGGGGGCGGGGGGGGGGCGCGGTGCGACGCGGAGTGAATTTGTCGGGGCGGCGGGGGCGTTGGGCGGGCGGGGGCTCCACTGAGCCGCTGTGGAGCGCCGGGGCGGGTTGGCATGGGGCGCGGGGAAGGGGTGGGTCATGGGTGGGAGAGGGGGTGGGAAGGTGGTGGGGGGGGTGCAGCGCGGGATAAGGAAGTCGGGGCGGGAGGGGCATTGGGCGGGAGTTCCACTGGGCCGCTGGGGAACACCAGGGAGGGGCGGGAGGGGGGCGGGGAGGGGAGGGCGTGGTGCGACGCGGAATGAAATTGTCGGGGCGGACGGGGCACTGGCAGGAGGTTCCTCTCTGCCGCTGGGGAACGCTGGGGGGGGGGTGAGAGGGGGCCGGGGGGGGCCGTGCGACGCGGAATAACATGGTCGGGACGGAGGGAACACTTGGCGGAGGTTCCACGGGAACGCTGGGGGAAAGGGCGAGGGGTCCGGGGGGGGGGCGGCGCGGTACGACGCGGAACAACATGGTCGGGGCGGAGAGGGGGATTGGGCGGAGGTCTCTTTGGCCATTCGGGAACGCTGAAGAGAGGTAGGGCGGGGGGGGAGCGTGGCGCGACGCGGAACGACGCCTGGGCCGCTGCGGAACGCCTGGGGGGGCACGGGGGATGATGGGATGGGGGGGACGCGGCGCGACGCGGGATAAAGTGGTCGGAGCGGACCTTCTGGGAGGTCGGCCGTTTCAACCGCCACCGGACGAAGAAAGGAGCAAGAACGGTGTGCGAACGTTGTCATGAGCGGGGCATCGCCGCGAAGGGTGTGGCGGATGATGCGAGGCGTTTGAAGAGACTGCTGATGCGCGCAGCGTGCAAGGAACAATGTGCTCGGCAGGAGCACCTAGGCGCCAAACAGGAGAGCGAGCACTTCACGAGAAAGAGTAAAGTTGTATGCGCAGATTGCAGTGCCGACAGGTTCGCGTCGCGCTGTTGGCAGGCCTTTCAGTGCAGTGGTAAGTGCCTAAGGAAATTGCCGAAGTCGGCTTTCTTCGTGGACGTGAGCCATGTCGTGCGTGACGGGAAGAAGGGCACCTTTCAAGGCATGCAGATGATACAGGTAGGGCGCCCGTGCCATGGCCCGTAAAAGTAGGAGCAGCGGGGGTGCGGGCGAGAGGGAGGACGAAACCGACGAAAAGAGGAACG